CAACAAAACTTGGCTCCCAGCTCTCAAAAATACAGCGTGCAAAAGGTCAACGAATTCTACCCAGCCACGACCGGGGATCACTACATACAAAAGACCAGCTAATGAAAACCATCAGTCACAGTGACAGATGATCTCTCCTCCTTATCACAACAATATACCCACAACAAGACACACTAATCACCCATTTACAGAAAAAGACAAAAGCCTATCTCACAGCCATAAATACTCCACTCCCAAGCCAAGTACACCAGAGCACAGAGTGCCGGCCACAGAGACTGGCACAACGTTAGGAAGAACAACCTTCAGAACACGGCCAAAGAGCCTGAAAAACCCATAACAACCATTAGATCCCGGCCGTGAAAGCCTTTGCGAATATATCATTTTATTGTTTAACTATCATTCTTCCATTCTGAGTTGTGAGTAATTTGTAATTTGGTAGTTGCATTATCAAATATAATGTATTCTGTCTTTTCCTCCAAAATGTATTACTAGTTTTTGAACTATTTTCTCATTCACTTGGAGCAGGTCAGAATAAACCAAATTTGAGTTTGTATTTAAAGTATTTAACAAGGTTCTACCAATATGATGATGGGACTAGATTTATGAGAATCAACCTTGTTTTACTTTTTCCAGCTAACTTTGCCACATAATACCTAAATTCATATGTGTATAATGATATTTATATATCATTTATTATCTCATTATTTTCTTTGGGGCCCTTCAGATCTTCCGTCTAACTTAGTGAAATAATGACTGGCCTGAAAATGGCCCCACTTATTCATTTTTGTACTGGGGAAATGGTAAAGTGCAAATTTTAAGCAGGGCTCAAATCATATCTTCCAGACTCATGCTTGCTGTTCATGTATCTTATTCTAAATCAAAAAGTTGCTTGTTTTTTAAACAGTTTTCAGCAATTTTCAGACCACTTGACAGCATAATTTCACTATGCCCTTTATAGAGGATTAGCTCAAAATAATTGGAAAACAGTTTTATTTTTACTTTTATGTTGTACCTGAAAGTATTGTCTTGAGTGTATCTTCTTAAATTTTGCTTTAGTTTATGTAGCCTCGTGCCAGCATTGCAGAGTTGTTGCATTGATACTAGATATTAATTTGATATTAAAAAATTAATAAAGTAAAAAAAAGTTGCACCAAATTGTCACAAATTTATATATAGTTTTTTCTTCCACTGTTTGACACTATGATTTGCTTTTATCCTCCCCACCTCTCTGCTTGTTGCTTTAAAATGTGCTGTGTTTGCTCTCCATAGGTGGCAGACTGTGCATGGGATGAAACAGTGAAGGTCTATAATCCATCTTCGTTGGCTGTGCCCACCTAGAGTAATGGCAGCTGATGTGGAGGATAGCTGACATGGAGGAAAATCAGTGCCACTTTCCTAAGACAGGACTGGATAATATGTGATTGCCTTGATGACAACTTAATTTTTTAAAATATGAACTTAAATAAAGTCTTGCAGTTAAGGACAGGTTTACATGTTGTGTTCATCACACAAGACAAGTACACACCCATGCTGGACCTACAGAATAATCACAAAGAATGAGGTAGACAAAAAAAAATTGGATGGGCTGCAGATTATGCAGTCTCCCAGCCTTCTCCAGGCTGATGCCTTCTGACACATCTGTAAACCCCCATGTTGGGGAAGGTGGTATACACAGGATATGTGGTAAGCCGCTGTGTAGATAAAAGATGACTAGACAAGAAGAGGGGGGAAATATAAATTGCTTTGCAATTTAATTGTTCATTATTGTTCCAATGTAAAATACCTTATATAACATTGTGGCCTCAGTCGGATCCATATGGTGTTCATTTTATCTCATTGTGTTGATTGACAATAAACAGCATATCATTCTGTGACTTGGATTTATGTGACTTGTTTGAAGTTTTCTTCTTTTATTTTAAAAAACCCTATAAACCTGTTTGTTCTTTTATTCATGTCTATCAGTTGAGAAAGGGAAAGTGTCCAATTTCTTACAGCCATGTCTATACATTTGTGCATCTTCTGTAATACGTCTGCTTAACGGATCTTTGATATAATAGCTTTGTCCAAGAAATTCACAGTCACCTAGGACTATTAGTGAAAGGAATTTTGAAAGAGAAAAGAAAAATACAAACAGTTATCAGTGCTGGGAATTGGCAAACATACTGTAGCTAGGTACATTATAATTAGGGAATTAATTCATTCATAGGCAATAGACATTTCTGTGGATAGCTGGCATAGAAGACACAGTAGACAGTTTTTCAAAAAGCCCATAAATTCAGACATCAGTGTGGAGAAACTGGTTAATAAAGATCAGTCAGAGATTAAAACAAGGGCAGTGAGATGGTTATTAAAATGGGGAAAATGTTGAGCTCGTTTTCTATCCCATTAGTCTGGATAAGCTACTCTAATTTTGAAGGCTTTCTTAAAAGGCAGACAAAAGGACAGAGGAATCAGAGGAAAAGGAAAAGGAGTTTGTAGCAATTTATGCTGAAACTAAGCCCAGAAGCTGCTTCCTCATAAATGCAGGTGAGCAAACAGGGGCAATACAGTAAGATGGTCGAACACATAATGAGGTAGCTCAAGCTCTTTTGTTGCCTGAGGCAGAAGCAAAATCCACCCTCATTGCAGCAGCTCAGACCTTTCTGCATTTCAGTAGCAACAATGTACCTGTCACAACAAGACAACCTGTCACAACAAGACAGTAGAGAACTGCATGGAACCTAGTGCTTTAAGAAAGAGAGAGAGAAAGAAATTAGCTTAGGTTGTGCCTTAGTGTCCCCACTGGGTTACTGGCATATCTCAAGAACGTGTGCACAAATAGATACAAAAACACACTGCCAGAGGCTGGAATTTAGTGGTGGTGGCCACAAAAATAGCCAGCAGAGCTTTTTATGTACACCTGGGAGTTCCATGAGAGGGCAGCTGCTGTCTCTTGGTTTAAACAAGGAGGAACACACAAGTGATGGGACGTTCCTGGAGATAAGATTTCCCTCCAGAGGGTTGATAAGCTCTTCTCTCTCCTTCCATATGACCTGCATGACCAGAGGCAGAAAAGTGTCAGGACAAGAAGATGAATTAGCAGCTGTGAAGGAGGAGGAAAAAGAGTGAATCATGGCTATTTTATTTTTTTGCAAGAATGGAAGTTGGAGATAACAGCATCCCTGCTACCATATCACAGTGTTGGGGGGCAGCAGAACACCCATTGGCACTGGCTACCTCCTCCAATTGCCAGAACACGGGAGGGACCTGGTCTGCCAGCAAAAGCAATGAGGACAGCCCTACACAGCTAGATGTTGCTCAGCGCCTTCTCTCTGTTTGAGAGGGAATTGTGCAAAGCAGGTCTCCAGAGTGATCATTAGTGCCCTTGGAAATCTGTCCCCTGAAGCGGCTACCTCACTCCAACAAATGGCAGCACTGGTTACTAATTTTAATATGTAATATGCTTTATTTTTTTAAAAAAAAATATATTGCATTGAATTTTAGTTGTCTTAATTGTATTTTAAACATTTGATAAGCTGCCCTGAGACTCTTATTGAGACTAAAGTGGGGTATAAAAAACTCCCCCAAAAATGACAAATGCATTAAGTGCCCAGTCGAAGCAAATCCACTGACGTCCACTGGTCCGTCTTGCCCAGTTTCATCCTGTGACGTCAGTTGAGGTTGACAGAGTGCTTGATCGCTGCAGGGCCACCACCTCTTCACTAGATCCTTGCCCAACCTGGTTGCTGCAAGTGGCCAGGCCTATAACAGTAGAGGCTACTGCCATTATCAATGGGTCTTTCCTGGAGGACAGGGTGCCCCTTACCCTCAAGGAGTCACTCGTTAGACCGATTTGCAAAAAGCCCACTTTGGCAGCGGACGACCTAAACAACTACAGACCTGCTGCCAATGTTCTTATCTTTAGCAAACTGAGTGGAGAGAGTGGTGGCCGATCAGCTTCACACACTTCTGGAGGAGACCAGTGCCCTCGATCCATTCCAGTCTGGGTTCAGGCCACGCCACAGCACAGATATGGCATTGGTCACCCTGCAAGATGACCTTTTGAGGAAGACCGATAGGGGCAAAACATCCTTGTTGGTCCTCCTCGACCTGTCAGCAACCTTTGATACTGTCAACCACGTTATCCTCCTGGGGAGGTTCTCTGGATTGGAGATTGGGGGGTTTGGTTTTGGCCTGGCTCTGGGCCTTCCTGAAGGACCGTCCCCAGAGAGTGCAGCTTGGGGAGATGTTGTCAGCTCTGTGGGCTCTCAATTGTGGAGTCCCACAGGGTTCAATCATCTCCCCAATGCTATTTAATATATATATGAAGCCATTGGAGGAGGTCATCAGGAGTTCTGGAGCTTCATGTCATCCATATGCAGATGACACCCAGCTCTTATCGCTCCTTCCATCCTTCTGCAGCAGATGCTGTCCCATCCCTTGAGTGCTGCCTGGATGTGGTGCTGGGATGGATGAGGGAAAATAGACTGAGGCTGAATCTGGACAAGATGGAAATCCTGTGGGTGGGGGTCCTTAGTGTCTGTGGTTTGGGTGCCCCTCTGTCTTTCGAGGGGGTCGCTATTTCCATGAAGGATGAGGCTGCTGCCTGGATGTGGTGCTGGGATGGATGAGGGAAAATAGACTGAGGCTGAATCTGGACAAGATGGAAATCCTGTGGGTGGCGGTCCCTAGTGTCTGTGGTTTGAGTGCCCCTCTGTCTTTCGAGGGGGTCACTATTTCCATGAAGGATGAGGTGCGCAACTTGAGCGTACTTCTGGACCCAGCACTATCAATGACATCACAGGTGTGTCTGTGGTCCGATCCGCTTATTCCCACCTAAAGCGGATTGCCTAGCTGTGTCCCTACCTTGACACCAGGTCCCTCACCGCACTGGTTCATGCACTGTAGTCTCAAGATTAGACTACTGTCATGCTCTCTATGTGGGGATGCCCTTTGTGCTGTCAAGGAGATTTCAGCAGGTCCAGAACTCAGCCTCCAGATTACTGAGTGAGGTGAGAAGACTTCAACATATCTTCCCCACACTGGCCGCCCTGCATGGACTACCTGCCCATTTCTGTGCCAGCTTCAAGGTGATGATGTTTACAAGGCCCTAAGCAGTTTGGGACCTCGTTATCTAGCAGAACGCTTCCGTCTGACTAGATCGGCCTGCCCTGTAAGATCTTCCCAGGCTGGCTGTTTGAGACATCTGACCCAGAGAGAGAGGCTTGGAAAACAACAACCAGAAACCAGGCCTTTTCTGCGTTAGCCCTGCAATTGTGAAATAGTCTCCTGCCTGAAATCCAACTCGCCACCTCATTGGGAACCTTCAAGTGATCATTAAAAACATGTTTATTTAGACAGGCCTTCCCAGGTTCTCTAATATCCTGATACAATCGGAAAACAGCAACCAGAAACCAGGCCTTTTCTGCATTAGCCCTGCAATTGTGAAATTGTCTCCTGCCTGAAATCCCCTTGGCCACCTCATTGGGAACCTTCAAGTGATCATTAAAAACATGTTTATTTAGACAGGCCTTCCCAGATTCTCTAATATCCTGATACAATAGTGCTTTAACAACCAGATATTTGCTAATGTTCAACCCTCCACCATGCTTTCACTATTTATTTTAATCTTTTTATTGATATTATTTTCATTTTGTTTACACTGTATTGATTATGTTGTCTTACTGTTTCATTTTATTGTACTGTTTTGCTTTATATTGTATTATGTCATTGTATTGTCTAAACCGTCCAAAGTGGCCTGGGTTGTCAAATGGGTGATTGGTCAGTCAGTCAGTCAGTCAGTCCTAAAGTTGTTGGGGAAATAGCCAGGTGATAATTGGGGTTCTTGCTGCCCTGATTGCCTTCATATATGCCTATCTGTGTATATTTGATAGACGTATGGGCCAGAATCAAGTTGTCAGTTTATGCTTATTTCAGATTAATAAAGCAGTTTCTTTCAAACTTGTTGAACAGTGGCTTGGGCCTACTTTGTCTCCTCAATCCCAACCCAACACCTATATGAGGAAACTGCTCAGAAGAAGGTAGTGTCTTAAGAAAACCACGTGAGCAATAGCTTTTTCTGAGCAACTTTTTACCTGCTAAACATTGAAAAACTTTCATTCCCATAAATACAAGCCAGGTGGATTGTCTTCCTGGGACATTTGGCCCACTCAGATTTTCAGTGCTGAAACTCTTTTGTCTTGACCTTCCTTTCCCTCATGGGAGAACTTGGTTTCTGCATACTCTCAGAGTCCCTGAAACTGCTTTGATACATATGAATTGATAGGTGCTGTTATGGCTAAAGTAATTTGTCACACCATATTACAGATTTCTGTGGGATCATTGATTAATGGCATTGTGTGGTCATGCAATAATTCTAGTTCTAGGTTAATGTTCTAGGTTGATATACTAGATAGAAAAAGAGCATATAATGACAGGAAGTCTGAACATTAGGCAAGTAGGATGATGTTATAGGGGAAATGTTCTTTGATCTTGGATTAATGGTGTTTTAACATACTCTCAGAGTCCCTGAAACTGCTTTGATACATATGAATTGATAGGTGCTGTTATGGCTAAAGTAATTTGTCACACCATATTACAGATTTCTGTGGGATCATTGATTAATGGCATTGTGTGGCTATGCAATAATTCTAGTTCTAGGTTAATGTTCTAGGTTGATATACTAGATAGAAAAAGAGCATATAATGACAGGAAGTCTGAACATTAGGCAAGTAGGATGATGTTATAGGGAAAATGTTCTTTGAACTTGGATTAATGGTGTTTTAAGAACTTTAATACAACTCTTATTTTTAACATCTAATAATATTATATAAAAAACTTATTTGATCAGACAAATAGTATGCTTTTTCTGACTCCCAGATCATTTCTCTAGTCC